GGGCGGCCCGGTGGGCTCCGAGCGCGCTGATGCTGCGCCGGGACCCGCCGCGCGCCGGGGGCCGCCGCTCTCTGGCGGCCCAGGCAATGATGGGGAGGGCAGAGGCTCTGGGGGCTGCAGTTCAGTCGCCACGGAAGCTTTCCTCCTCCCTCCGGAACCAGCCCGACAGACGAAGTGCCCCGCATCTGCCACCGCCCTCCTCTCCCGCCCAGCTCCAGGCGAAGGGGGCGGGCTGCCAGTGGGGGGCCGAGAAAGCCAGGTAGGAGGATGTACTCCGTGGAGAGCTCCTACCATCAGGTGGACGAGCCCTCCCGGCAGGAGCAGTGCCCCGTTGGAGCAGAGCGGTGGGCGTCCCTCCTTGAGGAAAGGAAGGAAAGGGTGGGTGAGCTTGTGGCTATACGCTTATCTGTGGCCTGGCTTATCAACTCCGGTGCATCTTGTTCCAAACAGGAGTCTGAAGGAAATGGCCTTTCTGCCAAAGAAGGCTTTTCCGTGCCCTGCCAACTGCTGCCATTTCTCCAGAGGGGATCGCGCCGAACATTAAATCCTGCCACGGAACCAGCAGTTCCTCTTGCGAGGTGCACATGGAGGTGGAATATCACGTCTGTAGACTTTCTGTGGTCCTGCCTCTTGGCTTTGGGTCAAGGTACTGCCCAGTCTTGGTGACTGTTTTGTTGTTGACAACGGCTCTTAGTTAAAAGTTCCGGGCCTGGTGCCCTAAATTTGAGTGGATTGGAATCTGATTCACTCGCACTCAGCACCAATTACATGGGCCAATACAGTGACTTCAGTATGACTGGCTTCTCTCCCTCTTGGGGCTTACCAAAGTTTTACTCTCCTTTGGTCTGTATCTTTCTCAGCTAATGTGGGAAGAACACCGTTCATTTATGTCTACTGCAATGGATAAGTACTATAGGTCTCTTCATGCAAAAGGCTGGAAAAAGCCCCATAAGAGGACTCTGTCTGGAACAACACCTCTCAGCCTCTCTAGGCCACTGTTGCCTCATTTGTGAAACAAAGAGGGTGAATGACAAGCTCTTTAAGGCTCTTCCAGCTCTAAAATCAAAAGATTATATGAGGCAAGATTATATGAGATTATAAAGTAAAAGATGATTTCTGTTCAATATCAGTTAAATTTCTATAACATGGTAGTTACTGGTGTAGAAACAGATATAAACACAGCTTTTTAACTCTTCCAGTATGTTGTTCAGATGAGGGATTTAGCCAATACTTAGTAAGCAGAAAGTCCAAAGAAAAGTGTGACATTTCTTTCACTTAGGGCAACATCTCTAACTCCCAAATTCCCTGCTAACACACTTGGTGAGATCAGAAAGACACTTCAGTTTGGTAGCAAGGTATCTGGCCAATACAAAGCTTTCTGGATTTTCACATGTGCATGTGGACAAAGGACAGCTGTAAACTTTCCATTCTCTCCAGAAGATCTAATCCTTGTGCATTCCACTTTTTTAAAAAAATCTTTATTGTCAACGTATCACCTCTGGCCGGTTATTTCGCCCATTGACTTCTCCTAGGCCGGCCTCAACAACCTCCACCAGAGCGCCAGGGTGCATTCCCTTTGTATTCCTTACCCATTTATCCCGGTCACTCCTGCTTTTCCAGAGCAAGTGGTTACAAGTCCTCCCTGCCTTCTCTCCGTAATGGGATCAGGCAACATGTACCAAGGATGCTAACACTTTTAAGTGGCAGGACCAATTATCCCCTCTGTAAGAAGTTGTTTGTACAGCTCTTAAGGAGTCTATAAAATGAAAACAAACAGATGTTTCACATAGAGAAGATAGCAAGTGAAATGCGTTTCTAACACCATGCTCATGAAGTCACCAGAATGTCTAGATTGAATCACCAGAAGGCCAACAAGCATAAACATGAGTCTTGACTTTTCAAGGGATCAGACCGCTGTGGGCAAATGATAAAGCCAAATAAACAGCACTGCAAACTTCTACTCACCCTTCAAAAGGTCTCTACTCATCTCCCCTTCTACTCATCTTGAGTCAAATGCTTCCTCTTCCTCCTCCTCCAAGATTTCTATTTACCTGTCTCTCCAGGCAGATTTATAAGTTCATTTTCTAACCTGCCTGTGGTGTTTTCAGTTGAGTAGTGAGCATGGTTTTTTTTTTTATTTGTATGTATGTTTCTTCACCAAACTGTTATCTCTTTGAAACAGGACCGTGTATTTTCATTTTGTTTCCCAAGTTAGGCCTGGTACATTGCAAGTGCTCAACAAATGTTTGATACCTTTTAAAGCTAATGTTTATTGAGTATTTACTATGTGCCAGGCACTATAGTAAACATTTTGCATGTATCATCTCAGTGGGTCCTCATGAAAAAATATATTATCCTCACTGTGTATGTATGACCCAGAGTAATTAACATATTGTCCAATGTCCCACTGCTGGTGGCAGAGTTGGGATTTGAATTCAGTTCTTTCTGCCTTCAAGGTCAATGTGATTAATGATTATAATGCCTTCAAACTTGATAAGAAAGGAAAGAATAATACTGTTTCACAATGTAGTTTCTGATTAGTAAGCACTGTTTCTAATTATTTACTCACAAATATAAATATATACAGTGAAGTTTATGGGCTCTGATGCTGCTGTTATTAGCACCACTTTATACCTATATATACCTTTATAATTTTCATATATTATCCCACTTGGTTCTCAAAATAACTCAGTGAGGTAGGCGAACATATTATTTTCACTTTATAGATTTAGAAACTTAGGTGCAGAATGATAAACTGACTTACAACTTGTTCTTAGGACTGAAAATGTGGCCAGGAGGAAATTAATGGCCCTTCTCTTTTTGTTCTCCTGCACTTTGCACTCTGTAAAACACCTTATCAATATGGCTTTGCACTGACTGATATCTGTATATGTGTTTCCCCTTCAGACTGTGTACCTCTAATGGTCAGGTAGGGACTGTTGGTCCAGGAGGCAGCCATGGCGTACAGCACTGGGGTTAGGATCAGAGGACCTGAGTTCCAGTCCTGGCTCTGCTACACATAAGCTGTGTGACATGGGGAGAACGACTTAACCTCCTGTAAAATGGGGGGGGGGGGTCGTCTACCTACCTTACAGGGTGGCTGTGAGGATTAGATGGGATGTTTTCAAAAATACATGTTAACTGTGTGTTGAGCACAGGCAAGGGATTATTTGTGTTTATCTTGGTATCACTGCAACACAGTTCTTGCTGCTAAGCTTCTCAAACACCCATTAGATTGAAGGTGCCCTGGGCCTGGCCTTAGCCAGCCGCAGCTTCCCCAGTTTTGTCCTGGACTATTTGCAAAGGCAAACTAAGTCTAAGAAGCACAGTCACACCCCGGGCACATGGCTTCTACAAACAGTGACCACAGCTGCACGCCACAGGGAAGTCTTTGCTTATGTACACAATGATAACGACCCCTGTCAATAAAAAGCATAATTTACACAAAGAATTGATTGTATAGTACTTGCCTTTGTGTTATTGCTTTCGATTTTTTTTAAAGCACTTTCACATACACATTTCTTTCCTATAAATACAAAGTTTTGCTTGTTTGCTGATAGTCACACCTAATTAGAAGTAGTGAGTTCTAAACTCAAGTTTAAAAAAATATGCAAAGACATATTGAACCATTAAAGAAATTACCTTTGAAATGAGTTAGAACCAGCAAATGGAGTGCAAAGTCAGCTGCCATCCTGAATTATCCGATCAATCATTTTTAGTATCTTCATGTTTCATAAGTAATTCCATAAAAGGCTTATTTTGCTTACTTAACTCAGTGATTGTATTTTTAGTTTTGTGATCATAAAAGCAATATGTTAGCCCTGGCCAGTGTGGCTCAGTCGGTTGGAGCGTTGTCCCATGCAGTGGAAGGTCGTGGGTTCGATCCGGTCAGGAGTGAGAATGGGAGGCAGCCAACTGATGTTTCTTTCTCACATCGATGTTTCTCTCCCTCTGCCTTCCTCTCTAAAATCAATAATAAAAACACACACATATCCTTGGGTGAGGATTAAAAACAAAAGTAATATGTTAAAAAGTAAAACATGCCCACTATGGAAAATAATAATCACAACTGATACCATCACTGAGAGATACTGTTCTCAGATATTAGCATTTTGGTAGAATTCTTCCCCCAGTTTTCTTTGTATGAATTTATGATACAGTTGATTGAAATTATGCTTTAAATTAATTTTGAACATTAATATTTCACTTATAATCATTTTTAATTTATTAAAATTTTCAGAAACCTAATTTTTGCAAAGTAATTTGATATTTGAATGAGTTAGATTGTCTTTCAAAGTAGGTTATAACTTAAGAAAGGAATTCTAAACATTTTAAAATTTTTTATTAATTTTTTTAGAGCGAGAAAGAGAAACATTGATTTGTTGTTCCACTTATTTATGCATTCATTGGTTGCTTCTTGTACATGCCCTGACTAGAGATCGAACCCACAATCTTGGTGTTTCTGGTTGATGCTAACCAACTGAACTACTGGGCCAGGGCTTAAGAAAGAAAATCTTAACTTGGGGAGAGTAGGTTTGTTCTGGAAACTTTACCTTAAAAACATTAACATTCCAGCCTGGTTGGTGTGGCTCAGTGTTGAGTATCGACCTGTGAGCCTGGAGATAAGGGTTCGATTCCCCATCAGGGCACATGCCCAGGTT